CAGGAGCCCTGATACCCAGATAATCATTGTTATTCACTTCACCTGTCAGTGGTCATAATGTTATGAGTGATTGGTGTATATAGTCATATCTTAAGTTAGCTAATGTTAGTAAAATGCTAGCTAACCAGCTATAAATATCTATATGTAGTCACATCTTAATTAAGCTAATGTTGAAAATAATAAAATGACCTGGTGGTTTTGAGATGTGATTGATAGAGCTTGTTGGGTCAGGATGACTTCAGGAACAAAAGGTCATTAACACATTGAGAGTTTCATTGTTAAAGGTGGGGTTTGATTTTATTTGACATGAGCTGTATTCTGACTTTATTTATCTTCCAGTTTTTATTAGTGTTGTATAGAAATATTTATTTATTATAAATGGAAGAAACGTGCTGTTAAAATAAGGTGAAGATGGTTTTAACTGATGTGAAAACATTGCTACCTGCCTGCTGCAGTGAACACATTCAGCACCTCATTTATTTAATTAAATGATCTTCAGTCAGACAGCTGACTGACAGTCGACACCATGGCAACACAGTCTCCATGGAGACAAAATTAACTGATGCTGATCTTTTACAGAGACTGCAGTCGACATTCAACCTCTGTAACCCTCAACACTATGTCTGTTCATTACATCTTCAGTGAGTCGATCTGTCTGCAGTCAGACTCATGGACGAGACAAACAGTAGAGACATATTTCAACATAATAGTATGTCAATTGTCAGTCATCTGTTCATCTGTCTGTCTGTACTCATTATTTCAATAAAGTCACACCTGCTCAGATAGACTTTTCCATTGAATCTGTATGCTTTGACCAAACAAACTGGCTTTCTAAGTTCAGGCATATTCAAGAGTATTTATTTGTACACCATCATCTTCTTAACTCAATAACTTATATTTCAATTCAATTCAATTTTATTTGTAAACAAGCAAACAAAAACAGGCTTGATGACACGTTTCTCCCGGTAACAACACACCTGCTCTATGATTACCACTTCACCTGTTTGTCCTTCCATATTCCACATACCACCTAGTGTTCAACAAGGGAAGTACAGCAAGTCAACGCATTTTTTATATACACACACATAAAAGAACATAGTACAAAAATGGCTCCAACAGAATGAATGTTAGTCAGCTTAGGTATTTGATTATGTTAATGTTGCTGGCTGTGGTTAAAGGTTTGAGGACAGTGAACCTGATCTGAGTCTCTCAGATGTGGACTCAGTACGTGAATCTGATTTAACATGTTGGTGTAAAGAGGAACCTGAAACACTGAATGATGATGAACATGCAGAGAGAAAAACTGATAAATATGTTTACATGTTTGTGTCTAAAGTTAAAATCTGAAACTGCCATTATGGTCGTTCAGGTATCAACATCTGGTTTTACAGCAGTTTCATCATTATGTAATGTACATACAGTACAGTACTGTAATACTGGTGTAACAGCGATGTAGTACTGAGTGGTGTCCTTACCTTCTCCTCCCTTATGTTCTTGGTGTAGTATTAGTAAAGATGTGATACTTGTGTAATACTGATATAGTACAGATGTAAAACTGTATCTGCCTGATGAATACTGATTTAAATTGATGCAGTAATGTTGCAGTACAAATGTAATACTGAGAGTTACAGTTTACTGACCCCACACCTACTCCTCCTGCTCCTTCCTTCTGCTTGTGTCTACTAAATATAAAACTGTTGAAGGCGCTTCCTTCCTTCTGACCCTTTCTTCATCACTTGTCTTCCTAAACTTATACTGATATAGAACTGATATAATGATGATGTAGTACTGATGCACTACCTTTGACGTATTTACCTTCACTCTCTCGGCTCTTCCTGCCACCGGATCCCTTCTTCATCATCTGTCTACCAGAGGTAAAAAGGTTGAGTTCGTCCAATGGGCTTGTGGGAGTCTGTGATCTCATCGACACGTTCTGCATGGAGCCATGTGTGGAGGATGAGTTACTGAGTTTAGCCCCACCCTCCCCAGCCCTGTGTGAGGATGAGGAAGAGGAAGATGAGGAGCGGGGCATACTTCCTCCTGCCATCAGAGCATCGTACGGTGGCGGCCTCTTCAGGCTCAGAGGAGTCAGTGACCGACCCATGCTGACTGGAGATGGACATGCTGATTGGCTGCGGGGATAACCATGACCACCGTGGGCGGAGCCAGAGGACTTATAGAAGTTTGAGGGGAGAGGCGGAGCAGATGAGCGGCCAGAGGATGTAATGGTGTGGGTGGAGGGCAGATCCCGGTCCCGATCCCGGCCCTGCTCCTTGCGGTGGTGGCTGGAGCTCTGAGGATGTTCGACACCACCCGACTTACTGTAGGAGACGTTTTCTATCATGGGCAACCGGGTGACATCTAAGGGGGTGAGGGGGGACTCATCAGAGTTGGGGGAGCACTGAGCGGGGGCTGGGGGGAAGATGAGCAGTGGTGGGCGGTGAGTCAGGAGATTGGGGAAAGGTGGAGGGATGTCGCAGAGAGATCCGCGGGATAACCAGGCTTCAGGATCCATGATGGCAGAGTGAGTGTCCTGCAGGAAGTCCTCCAACATCGGGTATTTCATCTCCTCATACACTGACTCACTCTGCTCATCCTCCACGGCTTCCTGACCTTTCAGTTCTCGCAGGATGTTTCCCACCATCTCAATGTAGACAGGTTCCTCATCGTCTGTGTCTCTTGACGCTGGACTCTGACTCTGGGATAAGGATTTGTCCCATCGCAAGGAAGACTTCTTGCTGCCATGGTTATGGATGTAAGATTCATCAAAGGAGGTGCTGAGCTGAGTGTTTGGGTTCCTTTTGGGTTTGGGTGGAGGCATCTTCTTGTAGTCCTCACTGTAGAGATGACATCGAGCTGCACAGACAGAGCGACGCACAGACAGAGCGACAAACAGACAGACAGGCAAAGAGTGGTTAAAACCTGAGACTGATTTTGTTGCAGTTTTTGACGAAGTATACATGCGTATATTTAACATGTCAAATAAATCAAAAAAATAAATCTTGCATCATCAAATTATGTCCATGTGTTTGTTTTATCCACTGACAGGCTCAGATTGTCCTTATTGGTGTCTGACAACATTTTCAGTTCCTTTTAATCTGAGCTGTGACATCTCCTTTGTAGTCATAGAGTCACAGCACCCACAGTTCTTGTAGAAGCTCCTCTTTCTCATAATTGGGCTCAAATAAATACGGGCAGCCATCAAATTCAAAGACCTCATCCACAATGTCAAAATAACATCAATATTCAGCCGTATCACTGAAAATCTTTTACATAACTTCATTTTCTGTACTCTCAACAAACTCTTCCTGGCATTACTACGCTCACATTTCCACTGTTGTCACTTCATCTCTCAGACTTGAGCAAGACGCACAGCAGATTGAGCAAATGTAATTTAATTTCTCTGTTGTTGTTGTCAGACATTTACAATAATAATCTGTAAGTGACAAAAATAAGCACTTTTAATGGATTTACATTGATGGTGGTCCCTAAGGATTATGTTGTAGCTCGTTCTGCAGCTGGAGGTTGCAGTACTCTTACTCAATACTGGACCATTTTCAAAACTTGCTGTCCCAATTTGTCACTTTGCCACAAAAACGTGAAAATAAAGTTGAAGTCAAAAGTTGAAAAATACCCAAGCTACCCTTCATATTTCCATTGTGTAGGATCTACTGGTGAAATTGCAGATTATAACAAACTGGATACAGCTCAGCCTTCCAAGTGTGTAAGAGAAACTACAGTAAAACCCATGTCTAGATAAATGGACTGTATTTGTATAGTTTCTTTCTAGTCTTCTGACCACTCAAAGCACTTTTACACTACAGTCACAGTCACCCTTTTACACACACTCACACACTGATGGCAAAGCCCATCAAACAGAAACTAACTCATTCATTGACATTCACACACGCATCAGGAGCAATTTGGGGTTCAGGATACTCAAGGCTCAAGGATACTTTGACATGCAGTGGGGAGGAGCTGGGGATTGAACCAACAACCTTACGATTAATGGACGACGCTCTACCTCTGAGACACAGCCACCCCTGTGTTTGGTTTGCCATTCTGGGCTACTGTAGAAACATGGTGGTTCAACATAATGGACTGTATAAGAAGACATGCTCCCTCTATAGATAAAAATGTCTCATTCTAAGGTAATGAAAACACAACAATTCTTATTTTCAGATGGTTATACACTAATGAAAACATACCAATGATATTATATTACAGTAATTTTACACACTGGAGCTTTAACCAGCAGGTGTCGGGTTTAAGCATTGACAGTATACTAATGGTCAATTAGTATACTGGTCAGTATAATGGACAGAACCAAGTGTCTTAAAACCTGCATTCTATGTCAAGGCCAGCAGAGGGAGCTCTATTGATTGATTGATTGGTCATTCTCAGTGAGTCTCCGCTCAATGCACAAATAGGATCAATGTCCAACTTAGGCACGTGCTGATCAACAGATATTGGATCAGCGTTTCGGATTAATGCGTTGACCATAAACAAATGTCTATAATCAAAAAATCATAGATTTAAACACATCTTGATGTCTTATCTGGGAAATACCACGATCTGTGTGACCAGACGAGCCGCCCTTCTTTCCTGCTACAGACGAGTCAAAACTGCGCAGCCAATCAGTGCAGATCAGCTTGCGCTGGCTCTACCCCATTTCCTGCCAATCTTCAGCTGTCCCTATCCAATAAAGGCATGAAAAAGGCCCAAAAAAAACACAAAACAAAACAAAAAAACTGTCATGGTGGCGACCAAAACGCTGAACTTGAGGCTTCAAAACTGTTCCCCACAAACCAATGGATGACATCACGATAGGGTTTAACCAGCAGGTGATGTGTTCTCACCTTCAGCCTGCTCTAGCGTCTCTTTGGTCTCTTGGGCGTCTCTCTTGGTGACGCCGGTGCCTCCGTTCACTGTCTCAGAGCTGCTGCTCAGTTTGGTGCTGGGGTCTCTTTTGGGTTTGGGCGGTGGTTGTTTTCGGTTGTGGTTGGAGTCGTCGTCTCCTCCGCCCACTGAGTGGAGGGACTGGGATCGGACAGTGAATCCCTGACTCGGGGGTGGCAGACGGTCCTGTGGTGCCGGCATCGTCATGAAACCCATCCTAAAATGTTTCCCAGAGTATGCCCCGTCTGTTGCCATGGCAACATCTTCCCCAATCCTGGATGGACCAAAAGAAAGAAATATCTGTAGTACAAACAATCCCATGGTGCTTTATAAAATATACATGAGTTTTATGTTGGTGTCACAAACCAAAACTAATTAAACTCTGTTGCACTGTATTTTATTTTACTGTATCCTTCATACAAAATCATATAATTAATTATAACAGTAAAAAAGAACTTCAGCTGCTCTTTATGGAAATCTGACTGGGATAATGTCTAGGTTTATAACCATTGTGTATGATTTGATATGAGTAGCACTATATCATGTTCACTTTACTTTAAGAGTCTAAACCAACAGCTTAAACCAAAAGCTTAAACCTAGATCTTGCTTGATTTGATACAGTAAATCATACTATACTGCTGTCAAAGCTATAATGCATGGGTTTTGAACACACTGCTGTAAAATGGTTCACTTCTTATTTTACTGGAAGAACAATCAAGTCTTTGATGTTGATGGGTTATATCAGAACTTCACAATAGTATATGTGGAGTGCCACAAGAGTCCATTTTGGGGCCTTTTTTATTTCTTCTGTATATAAATGAAATGCCAGCTGTCGTGACATGTTAGCTGTTTTATGCTGATGATTCTCCATTACTGGTATCTGGGAAAGATGTCAGTAAGACTGGGAACACTCTCAGTAATGTAGTAACTGAGTCAATCCTGTTTGGAACTAATAAGCAGCTGTCAAGAACAAATTCAATGTGTCTTGCAATCGAGCTGAAATTGTTTTGAAAGTGTTTTGTAATAAGGAATAATATTGGATCAGTCACCCTCCTGTGAATTTACTTTACAAGCTGTTCAGATCTCCTACACAAATCTAAATGTTTACATTTTTGTCAATATGGATGCTGCATATTGTTAGATCAGTTAGATTCTCCACACTTCGAGCCATTTTACAGAAATTATGAACACCAAAGTATAATTCATTCAGATTTACTGGCACTGTTAACAAGTGAGGTGGAAAAAAAACCTCTGAAGTGATCATAAAGTCCATACGGTCTGTGTCCGTTCCTCCATTATTTATATTCCTTTGGTCCGCCAGGGTCCACCGATAAAAACAATGAAAGGGTTTCATTAAAATGATTCTGAGTTATATATAAGTAAATATTATCATGTGCAGTCTGTTACTCGCTATCTGTGCATCGACTGCCGTACAACAACGTTCACATTCAAGTGTCATGGCAGCAGCACAGAGAAAAAAGAACAATCTGAAATTTACCGTAAGCTGTTTGTTGTCAAATTTGCTGAACAAAACTCAAGAGAAGCAGTAGTGACAGAGTATTTCCATCTGTGCTGAGCAAGAGTTTTGTGCTAAAGGGAATCAACGCCTGTCCGCAATAAGAAGGAGTTTATAAGAAGTTTTACGGTATGTTGTTTGGTATGTTGTTTTTTATGTTGAATGTTGAATGTTGATTGTGTTTCTTTGTGTTTTCTTTTGTCTTCTAACATCTTGGGACCATGTTGGAAATAAATGTTTTCACTTTAACATGTTATCCTTTTGACATTTGTGTTTCTTTTCCTGTGTCTGATAAACCATAAATAAAACCAATCAATCAAGCAATTAATCAATCAAACCAAGAGCCTAAACCAAGAGCCCAACCCTAGAGCCTAACTCAGGACGGTATACACATTTACTTCACTACTGCCCAACACTGTTCATGTGTTTTCTACCTTTTGATGGCTTCTTCCTGTCGTCTCTTCTTCTGGTGTTTTTCCTGCAGGTAAGTCCAGTTGGTCTGGTTGCGAACGCGGTCACTCTCTCTTGCGATGTCGGAGGCATTTTGGATCACCAGACCGTCGTATGTTCGAAGGCCGCTGTCTTCTACATACTGAAAAAACCTCCTGAAGGAAGATGCCTCCTCCTGAGACGTCATGACTCCCTAAAGACCTGAGAGGAGGATCAGAGAGGATCACATCACTGTATTAGTCAAATTACTGAACATTTGTAACCTACACACTAGTGACCTCTGCCCATGGACTACAGATGAAGATGAGCTTTTATCTTTATTTGGTACAATACGTGTATTGTGCATTGTCCCTGCTAAATGAAATAAAATAAAATAAAGTAAATGCTGTTAAACCTGTTCAAGAGAAACTTTATTTGGTCACTTTTCTAGTGTGAACATGGTTTAGTTTTAGTCTGAACACATAAACACTTGATTGAACAAATCAATTTGACACTGGAGACAGATTGCTTTACTTCAACCAGCAGTCAATGTTGGTTTGGTTTAACCACCAAGCTTTAATGTCCATCTTTGATGAACCTGCAGTATGTTCAAACTGTTTACAGTTTGTGGGTTTGTGTCAGTGTCAGGAAACACAAAGATGATTGAATTATTGCTGCAGTATTTTATAAATACATAAGAAATAAGATCAAGGCATTCTCTTTTTAAACAGTTACCTTTATTCTGACGCCATGCTCAAGACTTCCCCCACTGAGGATTAATAAAGTTAATCGTCTTCTTAAAACAAACTCCTTTCGTGTTTCAGGCCTACAAATCCTCCCTGACCACCTCTTTCTGCTCAATGGTTTTTGTGTTCATGCTTATCCTTATCCATTTGCTATAATTAAAGTCTGTTCTCCTGACATCCCCAATAAGTCTGTGAAGCTCAGTGTGGACTGCCGTCACCATCTTGGCAGTCCTGCCTCCGCCGGCTCCCGGCTATTCCAAAAATGGGGTGGAGCTAAGGCTGAATGAAGCCTAGTTACTGAAGCTGCCTGTGACGACACCCATCTGTTACTCAAAGTGGCCACGCCCTTAATTATGCATAACTTTAATTCTTAATGTAATTAATTATATATGTGTGATCTGTAAACATGTTTATTTCTGCTCTTAACTTGGACATTTTAATATGGGGCCTTATGGAGACTGACTCACTGCTCGAGCCTCTAGTGGACGTTAGACAAACTGCAGTGTTTGTTTCTGTCCAGAAGGCGTACTTTTGGTTTCATATTACAACTAACTGAATACCACTCACGTCTCACGTTCTGGGCTACTGTAGAAACATGGCGGTTAAACATGGCGGAGCCGATTCCTCTGTGGATAAAAACGTCTCATTCTAAGGTAACAAAAACACTTCTTTCTATTTTCTGCTGATTAAACACACTTATGAATTTTATATTACAGTAATGTTTCACACTGGAGCTTTAATTATTTATAACTGTAAATATTGTCACAAGCAAATAAAGAGCTTCTGAAACAACATTTCTCTCTCTCTCTCTCTCTCTCTCTCTCTCTCTCTCTCTCTCTCTGATGTATGTCTCTCTATTGTT